TGGTGTGAGTCTGACAATCACAATCGCAGGACAGTGTGGATACTGGTGTGGCTGGTGTGGAGTCTGACAATCACAATCGCAGGACAGTGTGGATACTGGTGTGACTGGTGATGACTTTATACTGCTGTGAATCTGCTTCACTGCAGGGAGCTGGAAAAAGTCCCATTGTACTTACAAGATCTCCCTTGGGACCCACTTTTCCTTGGAATCCCTGCAAAAAAACAACAAACAGATTCCGAAAGTGTTTCCACCAGTCTGTTTCCTTCATTCTCAAAAACAACTGCACGCCACAGAGCAATCAGTTTCTATTTAATAATCATCCTAACAACTTTACACAGTGTGTAACAGTGAGACACACTGGATGCTGCAAGAAAACCATCTGAAATACAAGCAAGTTAGAAAAGAAATATTCACACTATTTACAAACCATAGATACGTCACTGATTTGAAAAGGTGTTATTCCTCTACATGACACTGATCTTAAGTGTAGCAAGATCATGTTTAAACCAGCCTAAAAATACATCTGTATAAGAACCTCCCACTTTAGTGAAACCTCTGGAGAGCTATAGGATATCACTAGAATAGGCTCCGGGGATATTTATATCGCAGGCACAGTAAGAGGTGCTTGTTATCAAAGGAAAAAGACAGGCATTCTGTCTGACTCCTGCAGTATGAATTGACGTGGGTGTGTCAATCCCAAGGGAGAGCTTTCAGGAGTGTGGCTGTTCTTGTGCAGGCAACAGATGTACAGCAGGTCTGAATGCTAGGAGAGTGTCGCCATCGTGTGGCTGCAGCTTGCTATTACATTCGTCACACTGCGCGCTCGTTCGCTGTTAGTCTTAGATGCAAATATGAGATCAGGAGCCAGAGAACAGATGGGCACTTGGAAATGAAAGAAACTAGTAGGAGGACTGGAAAATATTCATATTACTCTTGGATCTCTTGAATAGGAAACACTTTCTGAAGTTCCCCTAATTTTGTTTGTGGCAATATACGGCTATATGATTTTGCTTAGTGGAGAGGACAGTGTTACCGACCATATTGAGCTATTATATTCAGTTTTTGAATGATTTAATACCGAAGGGGTCAGTAATTTTAATGCTAAACTCACAAGCCACACTTCAGAAATAAATGCACATGTATTTCTCCACACATGTTCTCCAGTCCATACTGTAACCAAAACATAACTGTAGTCCAGAGAGGCAACACTTCAGTGCCCTGAACAGTCTGGCAGGGAGGAGTGGGGTTTGAGTGACACCTGGTGGAGAGGAGTGGCAGTATACTTCGTTATTCCCAGCTCTGAAAATCTTGAAAACCCCCAATAAAAGCTGATTCCCTGTCGGAACATACTACACTGTGGAGAGTGAAGCAGGAGTTATTGAGGCGTTCACATGAGGCAGAGGTGAGGGGTCTGGACCTGTAACTGGAACAGTGTGGATTCAGCTCCCAGGTGTTCCCCTGAGCGGAGCCCTGCAGCTCACCTGTTCAAGCAAAATACCCAGCTGGATAAACAGGTGCAAATATAAGTTCCTTTGGATAGACGTGTCAGCTGAATAAATGAGAAATAGTTTAATAGCTGAAGACTCAGGTCCAATAAGCACCTGATGACATCAGGCCCTGGAGACTCGGCTGCCAGCCTCCCCCCTGCGGTGCCAGGTCTGGGGTGGGTGTGGAGCTCCAGTCCTGCTGACGCTCTGCTCCTGGGCCGCTGTCTGGACTTTTCACTTAAACCCTCCAGCCCCGTTCCTAACTTCACTACAACACTCATCAGCGGACACAGCAGGCTGCTCCCCAGCCCACTTACTCCCCCTTTGACTCCAGGACACGTCACCCACCTTATCTCCCTTCACCCCAGGAATTCCCTGCGGTCCAGGAACTCCCACCGGCCCGCGCTCGCCCTTTATTCCCTGAGGAGAAAGAGAAAGTTCATTGACCTTTCAACCATCAACAGCATGGCTGGAGAGTTTGCTCCAGACCCCCACCACCCTCTGTGTAAAGCCGCGCCTGCTGTTCTTGGTGTTAAACGCACTTCTCTGTAGTTTCCGCTTGTGCCCTCTGCAGTCCGGTTCGTGTTTCTCTGTTCATGTACTCTCGTTGCCCCCTAAAGCAACCTTCCTGAGACTCTGCTCCTGCAGTCCAGTCAAAGTGTCCACTCCCATCCCTGTCCTGTCCTCGTCCCGGATCAGGCTCCGCTCTCGATCATCAGAGAGGCCGCGCCGAGTCTGCAGGCAGGAGAAATCCTTCTTTCCAGCACCGGGCTGCCGCAGGACCTCTCCCTTCCCTCTCCGCACTGGTGCCCCTCACAGCTGGAAGACGAAGACGTCCGGAACGTGCCGCCCCAGCTGGGCGTTTCCGGATCTGTGGAATTCCATCACCGGCTTCCTCTCGGCGAGAGAGCTGGACTTGAAGTTCTTGGGTTTCTCTCTTGGACACGCCGGCAGCGCTCCGGACCTCGCAGCAGACTTCCCCTCGCCAGACACTGCGGCTGGGGGCTCCATCACACAAGCAGCCAGGCCAGCGCTCCCCCCAGAGAGAAACACGGGGGTCTGCAGGAGCTGGAGCTAACCAGTCCCGCGCAAGGTGACCAGCTCACACACGGTGACTGCCCACTGTCGTTCCCAGCTCTGTTTATTTTGCTCTGTGGGCCTCAAGGTTCACAGTCAGCCCGGCTTCTGACATTCGAGCCTCAGACAGCTTCACGGTTTCTTCTGAGACTTGAATTTGAAATTCATATTCAGTAAAAAAAAACAATTTGACTACAGCCACAATCAGGTCTGTGCAACTACCAAAGTAATTAGCATAGTGTAATTATGTCCCTTTGTAGAGATGTTGCATATATTTGTAACAGTGCTCGTCTAATGTACTGCTCTGTCAGGGAGCACAAGTGAGTCTGGTTTAACAGCACAGCAGGAATTCCACTCATAGTGGAAATACTCACAGCCACTCCAGGGAGTCCTGGTGGTCCAACTGGGCCCCTCTGACCTCTGTCCCCCTGTAGGAGAAGCAGGCAGAGGGTCAGGCAGTCAGTCAGATAGGCAGGCAGCGGTCCCAGATTCCCGGGATACTTCGGAACTGTGTTTCTTACCTTCAGACCAGGGACTCCTGGCATCCCAGCTTCTCCTGGGGGTCCTGGCTCTCCCTGGGGGAGAGGGAGAACAGAACCAGTCAGATGGGTTTGGATCATTGGATCAGCACAAAGACACTTACCAGCCCAGGACACAGAACAGCCCCCCGGCACGTGCAAAGAGTCTCTCACTTTCTAAAACTGTATCGACAATAAAAACTGTAAAACCTCTACATCTCCTTTCACGCTCAATGTTTAAAAATATTCCCCAAAAGGAATCATTATGAAAAGGCAGAGGCATTCAAGTTAAATTGACAACACATGCATCAGAAGGTCTACAGCACATCAGCATTATTAAAAAGACATTTCTATTATTATTATAGAACATTCCTGCACTGTGACTCCATAGCTGCAGTAGTGTTAACACATGTCTTCATTATAACAGTGTTACAAGCAAATGATTTCAACACAGGACATTATGTGATCAACATGATCGCAGTTCACAGGTGCTAAACTCTGTTGGGCTATTTCTCATCTCAAACCATTGTCTGTCCCTGTAATACAGGAACAGTAATGACACCTGAGGGCTGTTCTATTGAAACGTCACTGTGCCTTATGCCTTAGCTATACTCTTGCGACAGTGCAGTGTGGCTGAGGGCTGAATCAAGGATGACGGTGCTTTCACACACAGACCTGGGGTCCACTGGGTCCTGCCGAGCCGAGCAGCCCCCGGGGCCCGGTATCGCCCTGCAGAGAGAGACCAGAGAGCAGCTTCATCACAGCGGGCAGTGTCCTCGTTGCCACAGCTGCACTTGCAGGTTGGGTTCAGTACAAACTGACCAGCTGCGGCGCATTCAGATGGCAGCGAGTGCAGCTGTGTGTATAAAACTGAGAACATTGCCATGAACTGTGACATGTACAGGTGAGGCTCGCACATACCTTTGATCCGGCTCCACCCTTGGTACCAGGGCTCCCAGGCAAACCCTAGAGAGACCAGCACAAGAGTCAGACAGGACGACCCTGGCGGGGTGAGGTGGGGGCCCCCACTGACTCCCCACACCCACACCGCTTCCCAGACCACAGGTGGCAGGAGTCACACATGCACACATAGCTCTGGAGCACGGGACGGAGAAAGCCAGAAGAGGCTGAAATCAGAAGGTCACATACCAGCGCAACGGTACACAAGTGACTTAGAGGTACTCACTGGCGTCCCCTGGTGGCCTGGAGGTCCAGGCATCCCCGGCTGCCCAGGAGCGCCCTATAGAAACAAGAGGGATGGTGGAGAGGTCAGTGGCTGTATCTGCAGGAAAACTCACTTTAAAACAGATGATAAAGACACCATGAGCAGGAGCACCTAGCCTTTCCTCACACTCTTCCTCTCCAGCTGCTGCCACCGGTGACCACGGCGACTGAATCAGCCGCCCACAGACACCCAGCCCCTCTCGGACAGCATCTGTCAACATCTGCCTGGCCTGGAGCTGCCCGGTCGATTTCAGCTATGCCTGATGCATTGTTAGAACTGGTCGATACACATGGCCTGCTGAGACGTGTGGTTTAATAATTTATAAATACAAAGAGACTGATTGCCAGTAGCCTGAACTCTGCACGATGGTGCTTGTTAAATCAGTGAAGTTATGTTCCTCCCTGGCCCTTGTGTTATGTTGAACAGCCATGGAAACAGGATCAAGCAAAATGACAACAGCAGTACGCTAGCAGTAACATTGCTATTGTGGGCACGTCAGCACTCCCTCAGCCCCCCAGTAAAACAAACCCTAACTCACTAAGCGCAGCGTTTCCGACGTGATGCCCGACCCCTCGGTCCTGGTGTCACACAGACGACACTGGACACAAGCTGGGTTCAGAAAGGGCGGCCTGAAGCCCTGTGCACGAGCTCCGCTCAGTTTGGATACGGGAATAAATCCCAGCCCTTACCTTCATGCCAGGAATGCCAGGGGTACCGTCCTTCCCGTCGATGCCAGGAAGACCCTGAAACACCACACAGGGGACTAAGAACATGCAAACCTTCTGCACATCGTCAGAAAGACAGTTCAGCGCGCCAGAGACTCGTTCACTCACGTTCTCCCCTTTCGGTCCCACGCCGCCCTGTGGGCCCTGGATGCCACGCCCCCCCTAGAACAGAGAAAGCCCAAGGGCATGATGGGTAAGAAAGGGAGGAAACCCAAGGGCATGATGGGTAAGGACGGGCTCGCCAGTCTAAAGAGGCAGACAGCTGAACCCCACATCAGCAACGTTCCCAATACTTGCCCCCCCGGTCAAGAAACTCAGGAGTTTTATTATTGGAGCTCTTGTGACCAGTCGCAATGGTATTACTATACTGTCTATCAGTTTATTGGTAATGTTTTGCAGTAATGGGCATGTTTTGTTAGGAATTGCAGGCTGTAAGTGAGAATCCTCCAATCAGTATTATTTGTTATCAGAATATCGTATGCAAACAAAGGTCCCTATTTTTTTCAGTCGGCGTAAGTTAAGATTTTATAGCAAAGGAACAAGAAAAGGTTTGTTCTGTGCTGAAAAGAGAAGAAAGGAAACAACGTTTCGGCTGTGGAGTCTTCTTCGGTGTCGAAACGTCGTGTTTCCTTTCTTCTCTTTTCAGCAGGAATAAACCTTTACTTGTTCCTTTGCAGCCTACGCATGCTGACGCAGCTGCCCACCCAAAAGAATGTATCGCTATTGTATCTGCGGGATGTTTCAGGAAGTTTCATTGTATTGTACATGCTATTCTATGTACTGGCCACTAGGGGGCAGCGAGAGGAATCGTGGCTGCTGCGTGATCTCCAGCCAGTGTTGTATTCTAAAGATCACTGGAGTCCTTGTGCCCACCATGTCAGATCCATGAAGCCTACAATGCTGTATATTGGGCCCGGAGGGGCTCCGAGACGAAACGGGGGACTCACCACATCTCCTTTCTCCCCGGCGTTGCCAGGGGGGCCCTGGGGTCCCTCCTCGCCCTGCAGGAGCAAGACATACAGGACGCTCAGAGACGGAAGACGGAAGATGGAAGGACAGGGTTGTGGAGAGGTGGAGACTGGTACTTACAGGGGGTCCCGGGTGCCCGACAGGTCCTGGCATGCCTTTGTATCCACGAGGACCCTGGCAAAGCCAAGAGATTGTGTCTGTGAGACCTGTCTGCATCCAGCTCTAATCCCAGCACAGCCACTCGGCACACTGGACCCTGACTGTCCACAGCCACGCCGCACACTGGACCCTGACTGTCCACAGCCACGCCGCACACTGGACCCTGACTGTCCACAGCCACTCGGCACACACTGGACTGTGACTGGGGGGGACAGCAGCACGCTGGACTGTGACTGGGGGGGACAGCAGCACACTGGACTGTGACTGGGGGGGTTGCCTCTCCATCCCTTCAGTCTGCATTGTTGGGCTCAGATGACATTTACAAAGTGTTTCCCACATATGGCATCATGGATAGCATGCCTGTTTCCTGAAGGCTGTCACCATCCACTGAAGCCCTGAAATCAGTGCATTAACTTAATTGAAATTAATGAATTCATCAAATAAATGAAATTACTTTTATGTGCTGAGAACTCTTGCATCTTAGCTTTCCCTTCAGTTTTAGATTTCAGAGGCAATGAAAGCAGATTTGCCTTGGTGAATATCAGCTGGTGGAGACTAAGACAGAACATTTCTCGCTTGATCATTTAGAAACTAAAGTAACAGAGATGAAGCCTTCAAGTTTTATCACATCTCTTCTGCTATAGGGGAAGTGTAGA